GGTGTGGGTTCGAAGTTGGAAGTTATCCCAATAAAAGTGCTAAAATCTGTAACAGTACTTTTCGGAGAAAGTGTAATCATAACATAACCAATGTTACATTTGACCACTTTCTAAATGGCATTGTGTATTCATACAATACAATCTTTCCAAGGCTTCACTAAGGCCGTGAATGTTGTGAGGTGAGGTGAAATTGGGTTTTACGTCGTCCTTGTGAATATTTCGCTTATATGACGACGTGCATGCGTGTGTATGTGTATGTGCGGCTGCTTGTACTAGCCCAGACTGAAGCTGGTTTTGTAGTGCTAGCCCACTGAGATACCATACCGCAGTGAAGCATGAATACCCCACTCAGACACATTATACTGACTCCGAGCCGACCAGTCCTTGTTGTACCCATTAATGCAAAGCGCCAGGCAGGGACAAACAAGTACCATATTTTAACGTCTTTTGGTATGACGCGGTCGGGGATCGAACCCGCGACCTTCGGCTCTCCGGGCGGACGCTCTAACCACTACACCACAAGCAGTTTAAACAACTGTTTGAACAGAAGCCTGTGCACATGTTTCTGTAAAATAGATGAAGACGGTTACATATCAAACCAAGGATGATAATTAATGCCTGCCCCTGATTCGAACTTAAGCAATCTTCCGACGTAAGAAAGAACTAGAAATGTATCATAATAAATTTTCATTACCATTTTATAAACGAATACAAACAAGGTGTTTAATACGTAGCTGGATTAAACTTTCGACACAGAAATCCATACTTGCAGTAATCTAATACCTCGGGACATTCCCACACAGTGTGTGTTACCATGGCGACATCAGGCAATTTCCTATGGCGTCAGTTCCGGATGGGTAGTAGGAAGTAGGGCTGTAACTATTTTTATTATGGAATGTGATAACCTAGTATATTCCTTAGCTGCTTCAGTGTTACTTATGTTTAAAAGAAGAAAATTATTATAACATATGATATTACACCATCCATCTTATCTCTAAGTTTTACTATGTGTGTATAGGGATATATTTTATCTGTGCATTGTTTTATGGATTTTATGTGTCTCGTAGGCCTGTAAAGTCCGGGCAGATGTTACATATGTGATACAGAAGATTTTATATATTACGTAAACATCTGCGTGACACAATAATAAAATAATTTCTCTCTCCCTCTCTGTAACGATGCATCGAACTATCGATGGATTGCGATTGTTGAGTCTTCGATAGCAATTAATCGATGGTAGAAACGAAATATTATCGATGCATCGATAGTATGTGTGACTATCGATAGTTTAGTAATTGACTTCTGTTGGTAAATGCGCAGTGCAACATACAGGACGTACCAGATTCGTTCACTTTGATTTAGAGTTATCTACCCTGCTACCTGTTAAACATTACGGCAAACACGGCATGCGACTGAGTTTGAAATTGTGAATAACAATAAGTTTATGTTTTAACTGTTGACATGATCTGGTTTCTTGCCAGTTATTAAAACAGACTGACACTTCTTCAACTTGTTTTATTTCATATAAACTATACATTCATTTGGGAAATGACCTCAAATAAGACAATTCAAGGAGAAAAAACATTATTGCAATAATATTGCAATAGTTGGTCGCAATAGACTATCACTATCGCAATAGTGCTTTGCAATAGACTATCACTATCGCAATAGTTGTTCCCCCCTCAATAGTCACCCGTAGTAGGAAGTAACTGGTAAATCTTGTTGTCTGCTTTCAAACGGGTGTTCGTATCGGTAAGATTTTTGAAAATCGTGCCATGCAGCTCATAAAAGGAGCAGTGGGGTAGCCTAGTGGCTAAAGAGTTCGTTCGTCACGCCGAAGACCCGGGTTCGATTCCCCACTATGGGTACTATGTGTGAAGCCGTGATATTGCTGGAATATTGCTAAAAGCGGCGAAAAACTAAACTTACTCACTCACTCAATTCCTAGATTCGTACCGGTCTCTTCACATTCCGACCCGTGAATAGATCTTCAATAACACATTCTTGTCGTAAGAGGCTACTAACGGGATCGGAAGGCCTGGCCCGCTGACTTGGTTGACACATGTCATCGTATCCCATCGTATCGATGCTCATACTGTTAATCATTAGATCGTCTGGTCCAGACTCAATTATTTACAGACGGCCGCCATGTATCGGGAATTTTGCTGAGTGCGGGGTAAAACTAAACTCACTCATTCCCCTCACTTTCCAAGGTAGGCGAGCCCAGAGTGTGAGCTAATGGTACATTAGAATCATATATACTTTAATATATATGACTTATAAATCTGAAAGCACCTCCTCCTACCCAACAGTGATGTGACCAGCACCAGGGGCGGATACAGCTTTTTGAGAAAGGAGTGGGGTGGTGTACAGTTCATTTTCACCCGTTTTCACGAGTTTCAATGGTCAGTTAACAAACTTTCAGGACACACACACACACACGTACGTACGCACGCACGCACGCACGCGCGCCCGCACACAATATTATCACCAGTCAAATGCAAAATACTATCGCGTGGGGGGGGGGGTGGGGGTGGGGTGTGTTTGTGTCAGTTATGTCTTTAGTAAATATATGTCAATTTATATGTATACTAAAGACAGTATTTTGTATTTGTAATAGTATAGTGATAGTATTGTGCCTTTAAAATTCATCACCCAAACTACCTAGACGCCATACTCCAATTTCAGGACTTGCGGGTGAACAAAGTTAACATCGTTTGCTCTGACACGCGAGTACTTTCCACCCATGCACCGCTGAACACCATATTTGCTCTCCGCGCAATATGTAAAACTGGCTCTTTGCTTACTATGCGAAGAACGATGTGTCCCACAACCTACACGGGTCAGCGATTTCCGATATAACATACCATTTGTGATCTACGAATAATTGAAACCAGTTCTCAAACCTGAGCACATAGAGGAGTCTGTTGAACAAATATCGCTACCCAAACCTACTCCTGTCAATGAAGGCCATATTTGTAAAGACACTCCTTACAAAACAAAAACCTGGAAACAGGTCCTTGTCACGTGATTCAACAAGGAAGTTGGTTGAGTTAAGTTATGTAGCCAGTCACATGTAGCCACGAATCTTCCCGGGGACAATTAACGTTAATTAGAAATCCATGGCAAATCTGTCTCTGACCGGAAAGGTAAGTTAATTATCCTTTTTCACTATACAACACTGACTGTGAAATTCTCCATATCATGCCTACAGCCCACCCGAAACAACGTGTGTCGTTCACCCGTAGTACGTGTTAGTCGGGTAGGCAAGTCTCATGGAGTATATGTCTGTTGATCTGACTTGTTGACACGATACAGGTGTGATCTTCAATAAAAAGGTTTCTATTTCTATTTACCATTTTTGATTAATGGGCGGATAAAAAGTTTCTTTGTTACTGTAAGTTTTTAGACGGCCAACCAGTGTAGGCTTTACGTTCATCGGCTACGTTTACACTTCTGTTGAATGGGCAATATATATTTCGCCCTTTCGTCTAAACAATGCGATATCTGTCATGTCCTGAAATGTGTTACGTGATTCAATGACACAGGATGGGCGATGACCATGACCGCACTCAGCAACATTCCAGTTATATGGCGGCGGTCTGTAAACAATCAAGTCTGGACCAGACAATCCAGTGATCAACAGCATGACGATCGATCCTCGCAATTGGGATTCGATGATAAGAAGTGTCAACCAAGTCAGCGAGCCTGACCACCCGATCCCGTTAGTCTCCTTTACGACAAACATGGGTTGCATGAAGACCAATCCTAACCCGGATCTCAAGTGTGTTTTAAACATAAAGTGGGGGTGGCGGTGGGGTACCTAGTGGTTAAGGCATTCACCGTTAGCCAAAGACCGGGTCTGATTCCCTCAAGGGAACAATGTGTGAAGCTCATTTCTGGTGTTCCCCGCCGTGATATTGCTACAATAGTGCTAAAAGCGTCTTAAAACTTAATTCACTCAGTCAATAGATGTTTTATTCGTTCCCATGGTTACATTCCGTTATTAATATTTCAGCTACAGTAACGCAAGCTGATGACAAATAAATATCTGAATGTGTGTACATTTAATCAGTAGCAGAATATAAACTTTTTTCATTACCATTAAGAAATAATTCAGTGTCATCCAGATATTGATCCAGTTTGTTTCGTTTGTAAAAAATGCAGAGAGATTACAACACGAGAGGTTGTTTCAAATGTCAGATGATTTATCAAGCGAATGGTTTCTGGACCAAACCCACATTTTGCATAGGTTTCAAATGGTGATTTGTTTTACAGGAGGAGGAGGCCCAGAATGCAAATTTAGCTGTAGAAATAAAATAAAAAATTCTGGGTAAATGTCATTAATCATAAAATTAAATAAAGTTGGGGACAACTCTCCGAGTATAATGGTGTTGAGACCCATGAATTTTGATAGTATATCTAAATCATGGATAGTGAGTTTAATGGATGGTTTTCTGTATACATTTATAATGGTAATTTCTTTGTTATTAAGGCTTTAGTTCTTGTTGCCAGGACTTCGAAAGTGTGAAATGCTCTACATTTGAGAACCCTTTAACTATTAAAGAAAACATGTAGTCTAATCCAATACAAGCCGACCCCTTTAATTAATGAACTTAGACTCTCCCAGTGTGAACACGGTCAGAAATTCGACCGATTAGCACAGAAACACACACACACACACACACACGCACGCACGCACGCACGCACGCACGCACGCACGCACGCGCGCACACACACACACACATAACACACACACACACACACCGCCCCCGTACTCGTGTTAGATCCTCGCTTAAAAACCCCACATACATACTGAAGACATTAAATCTACCCCTCCGGCCCATCCCGACTGGTGATAGTGTGTGTGTGTGTGTGCCATCATTCTCCATTTCCCAGGAGTTGCGGGTGAGGGAAGTTAACATTGTTTGCTCTATAATGTGAATACTTTCCACCCATGCACCGCTGATCACAATGTTGCTCTCCGTGGAATGTGTATAACTTGCTCTTTGCTTGCTGTGCGAGAGAACGACGCGCCTTTGCAACTCACATTGGTTTGCGAGTTCAGGAAAAAACATATCATTTGGATCTACGAAGCCTGAGCAGATAAAGGGTGCCAATTGAACAAATATCGCCACCCAAACTGACTCCTGTCAATGAAGGCTATATTTGTAAGAGACACTTTGTAACACAATACTGGAAAAACCATGACAGGTCCTTGTCACGTGATTCAACAAGGAAGTATAAGTTATGTAGGTCACATGTAGCCACGAAATTTCCCGGCGACAATAATCGTTAATTAGGGATTCATGGCAACTGTTTCCTGATCGGAAAGGTTAGTTAATTATCTTTTGACTTTACATCGCTGACTTCGTGATTCTCCATATCGATGGCGACATCCACCCGAAACAACGTGTGTCGTTCACCCGTAATGCGGTGTGTGTGTATGTATGTATGTGTGTATGTATGTATGTGTGTATGTATGTATGTATGTGTATGTATGTATGTATGTATGTATGTATGTATGTATGTATGTATGTATGTATGTATGTATGTATGTATGTATGTGTGTATGTATGTATGTGTGTATGTGTATGTATGTATGTATGTATGTATGTATGTATGTATGTATGTATGTATGTATGTATGTATGTATGTATGTATGTATGTATGTATGTATGTATGTATGTATGTATGTATGTATGTATGTGCGTGTATATGTATGTATGTATGCGTGTATGTATGTGTATGTATGTATGTATGTGTGTGTGTGCGTGCGTGTGTGCGTATGCGTGTGTATGTATTGTATCCATCCTCGTCAAAGATCTGTAGGAGGCTGTGTTCACTCGAGCAAAACAGCCAACACTTGAGTATTTATACTGACTCTCTCTCCCGCCTGCTCCAGACTCAATCCATCCACGCATTATCTTTCGTACCCCTTCTTTCCCAATTCACGAACACCTATATTGCATCCACCCCGTTATACCACGTGTATATGACCTCACTTCAATTGGACCCCACGTTTTACCAAAACATCCATCCGCGATATTATCTGAGTGTTATACCCCAAATGTTCGAGGGTGTGGTGGATTATCTGCGATGTTCATAACAAATAACCCGGATACTGCACATAACAGGACACATCCTTCATGGTCCAGTGTCTTGTGTTATTGGGTAAAAATGCATCAATATATTATTAGCTTGTTTTTTCCATCCCTCACACGTCATGAATTGTCATTCCCAGTTGAAATAAAAAAGGTTTCTATTTCTATTTACCATTTTGATTAATGGGCGGATAAAAAAGTTTCTTGTTACTGTAATATTTTTAGACGGCCAACCAGTGTAGGCTTTACGTTCATCGGCCACGTTTACACTGTTGAATGGGCAATATATCTTTCGCCCTTTCGTCTAAACAATGCGATATCTGTCATGTCCTGAAATATGTTACGTGATGCAATGACACAGGATGCATGACCACGACCGCACTCAGCAACATTCCAGCAATATGGCGGCGGTCTGTAAACAATCAAGTCTGGACCAGACAATCCAGTGATCAACAGCATGACGATCGATCCTCGCAATTGGGATTCGATGATAAGTGTCAACCAAGTCAGCGAGCCTGACCACCCGATCCCGTTAGTCTCCTTTTACGACAAACATGGGTTGCATGAAGACCAATTCTAACCCGGATCTTCAAGTGTGTTTTAAACATAAAGTGGGGGTGGCGGTGGGGGTACCTAGTGGTTAAGGCGTTCACCGTTAGCCAAAGACCCGGGTTCGATTCTCCTCATGGGAACAATGTGTGAAGCCCATTTCTGGTGTCCCCCGCCGTGATATTGCTACAATAGTGCTAAAAGCGTCGTAAAACTTAATTCACTCACTCAATAGATGTTTTTATTCGTTCCCATGGTTACATTCCGTTATTAATATTTCAGCTACAGTAAAGCAAGTTGACAAATAAATATCTGAATGTGTGTACATTTAATCAGTAGGAGAATGTAAACTTTTTTCATTACCATTAAGAAATAATTCAGTGTCATCCAGATATTGATCCAATTTGTACTCAATATTGTCAGTGGCTATTCCATTAATATTATAATTATTTCTTATCATATTGTGAAGTACTTCTGCTTCAAGAAGAAAAGGATAGGAGGATGGGGGATCTTTTTTTCTTCATCCAGTTTCGTTTGTAAAAAATGCAGAGAGATTAAAACACGAGAGGTTGTTTCAAATGTCAGATGATTTATCAAGCGAATGGTTTCTGGACCAAAACCAAATTTTGCTAAAACTAGGTTCACAAATCCCTCAGAAACTGTATCAAAAGTGTTTTTTCAAATTCTATTAAAATTATTAATCCTGGAATATTTTGTTTACATAATGTCACATAGTAATCTTGTATTTTCACAAATGGTTCTCAAAGATATAATCTCTGTTTGATTTGGAGGTAATAGATAATATAAGGTTTTTAATGGTTTGAAATAAAATAAAATTTTGTACGGGGCATTTAATAGAGTAATAGGTCATACATATGAGTTCTTTTAAGAATCAAAATATACCAGTTTGAAATCCATCAATTCCTCAGCTTTTGTTAATGTTCATATTTCTAACAAGGAAAGCAAGTTTGCTATGTGTTACCGTTAATCTTGAAATTCTAGTGTTTAAAAGAAACTCAAGTATATAGTCGCTATATTACTGACTGAAATGAGACAAAGAATGAGGACAATTTTTATGGATTCTAGAATGCCAATCATGAAGTGAAATGAGACAAACAAATTCAAGGAATTATGAAAGAAAACAGGTACAAGTACTTACAATTAATGCCATTTACTACCTATCGTAATAAAAGAGAAATAGCTACAAAATATCCTTGGTCGTGTGTTTCACCGAACTGGTAAACGTCAAAGACCGGCATCAAGTCGAACCTCCTCCCACAAGGAGCCTACTCGCCATGGTATAAACCGAATACCTTTAAACCCAGTTACGTCCAAGTCACTCACTAGTGATACTTTGCAAATATATCAGACATGCCCTGAATTGGTACTTGAACCAGTTTTCACAGTCTTTTTATTTATTGTTTTGTCTAAGCCAACAGATTCGACTTACGTTTCACATGAATATAGGTTATGTAGCGTAACTAAATCATTCTACTATATTGTGTACCTGTGTATGCAACATCAGGTAACTGTAACCTTTTTTGTTTGCGATTATTCAAAATACATTAATTGGACGTAGGTTTAAATGAAGGTTTCATATTACGGAACATTCCTTATAAGCTACTTAGCAACTGCTGACATCACTGTCAACAATCTGTTCTCGACGGGAAAAAGACCGAGAATAGCGGTCCTCATAAATCGTAAACTATTTAGCAGCTGCTGACATCAGAGTCAACAATCTGTTCCTAACGGAAAACCCTGAAAGGAGCGGTCCTTGTCGGCCTGGTTGTTTCTGATCTGCCGCTTCTTCGCCTGAACCCGGGTCCACTTGCGCAAAGCGATCTTATCGCAACGATGATCGTAAACGTCGCATCCATTGCAATAAAGGACTTTTCTATCCATGACAATCGTTCCTGTTCATCATACAAGCTTTTAAATGCCACTCAAAGACGTAAATACATCAAGTTGATCCTATTAGTTCTGATGTTATTTTAGTCTTCTAGACTGCTAAGTTCGTATAAGTCGGGGGCGATGGGGGGTAGCCTAGTGGTTAAAGCGTTCGCTCGCAACGCTGGAGATATAGGGTTCGATTCCCCACATGGGTACAATGTGTAAACCCACTTCTGGTGTCCCCTTCCGTGATTTTGCTGGAATATTGCTAAAACCAGCGTAAAAGTAAACTCACTCACACACTTTTAGACAAGACAAGACAAGATTTTGATTAGGTCAAAGACCAATACAATATAAATATATTGAATATTCGCCTGTGCACATGGCGAGGTACGTATATAAAGAGAGCAATCATATGGTTATTAACATTATAGCCCAAGAGTTAGGATATGTGTGAACGATTTTCAAAAATTCAACTTTGTTTCTTTCATTTAAGATATAATAAATACACTTTGCAGCTTTCAGTACTTCAAAACTGTTTTCACATTTTAACAATTTGATAAACTCAAACATACTTATATTTTCCAATAAAGTATTACTTAAATGCTGTTTACGTATTTCTCGATATTTTGGACAAATCAAGAGTACGTGGTACTCATCTTCTATTTCGTTAGTACAAAAGGGACATAATCTATCAGCAAGTGGGATTTTAGGCACACTCCATCTTCCTTTTTCAATCATAAGCATATGTGAACTGAGTCGGAAACGTGTAAACGCAATTCGGTACTTCCTAACATCAATATTAGTTAAATATTTCTCGATGCACAGAGTTTCCTTAATATGAAGATACAATCTAGTTTCACTCAGAGTTGATATTTGATGTTTCCACATTTGAGAATAAATATCCTTAACCCTTTGTGTAAATTCTCTCACAAAACTTTCAGGAACATATTGGGCAACCCAAATGTAGCCAAAACCAAACCTGAAGAGCGTATCTCTCAATAAACTTGCCCAATTTTCAACATCAGGGTTCTCATTTGAACTATTCAATAATGAATTATATATCAAAACTATATATCTATCCGGTTTACTTCTCAAAATCTTAAGCCAATATTTGATAATCCTGACAAGACGAATAACTTTCAAAGGGAATGTACCCAATTCTCCATATAAGAAAGTTGATGGAGTTGACATTTTGACATATAATATGTGTTTCATAAATTTAAAGTGTACACTTTAGAAGTCGACAAGTGTACCTAGCAATTTACAAAGTCAGTGTTTGGTCGACTCATGTATCAAAGTCTTTGCTGCAAAAGTGTTTAGTCCGTTGAATCAATATGTTGAGGCAGAGTACATATTGTTTAGAAGCGAATGGGATTTCTGAACATGTTTTCAGGGTTTAAACACGTGGGCCATTACTTAAGGTAACAATAAAAACGATTAATGTTTTGAAACACAACTGTCTTGATTGGGTATGGATTCTCGTTTTTGGATACGACTCATCCGGCTGATTAGGTACAGTTGAACACGTGTTATCCAACGTCTGGCCATCCGTTCGCCCAAACAAGTTGTAGTGGGTACGGACTTTCCAACTTCCGTCTCAACAAGTTACTTTTTCAGTAAAGGTCATGCCAGTTGCGATAACTTGAAACATATGAAGCATTACGGGTTAGAATTGGTCTTCAGCAACCCATGCTTGTCGTAAGAGGCGACTAACGGGGTCGGGTGGTCAGGCTCGCTGACATGGTTGACACATGTCATCGGTTCCCAATTGTTCAGATGGATGCTCATGCTGGCGATCACTGGATTGTCTGGTCCAGACTCGATTATTTACAGACCGCCGCCATATAGCTGGAATATTACTGAATGCGGCGTAAAACTAAACTCACCCACTATGAAGCATTAGTTATATTTTATGCAGTGAGTGAGTTTAGTTTTTACGCCTCTTTCAGCCGTATTTCAGCAATATCAGGGCTTGGGACACCAGAAATGGGCTTCACACATTGTACCCATGTGGGGAATCGGCGTGACGAGCGAACGCTTTAACCACCAAGTTACTCCCTATATACTTCTGTGGAATGTGAGGACATTTTGTTACCGTTTCTTTTATCCGTCAGAAACGACTAGACACGTTGTTCCAGTGACATGTGTTGCACATGCCTTCTATGTTGAATGTTGTATGTGACAAGAATAGACCTTATCCTGTCGTTTACACATTGTGCCTCCTTTGCTAACATTGGGGTAATGCGATTCATTTTCGCGACACTAAATGGCTGGATTCCGACTGACCTCAAGTTGTCAGAGCCGTGGGATGTAAACCCTAACAATACCCGCGAGTAATCGAGCTGTAACAACGCCGTACACGTGATAGAGTAGTTAAATATTTCACAAAAGGAATGTCAACAGAGGTGATCCTAACGTGGAGAAGGGGATGAGTCATCACTATGAAAAAGGCAATACTTAAATGAGGATGAAGTGTTGGCCGTTTACACATATGTTTTCTTAGGCAAGTGACTGTAAAATGAGGCAGTGGGGTAGACTGGTGGTTAAAACGTTCACTCGCCATTCCGAAGACTCTTGTTTGATTCCCCACATTGGCACATTGTGTGAAGGCTATTTCTGGTGTCCCCCGCCGTGATATTACTTAATCTTGCTGAAATCGGCGTAAAATTATACTCGCTCGCTCACTCGTAAGGCTATGTTATACTTCAATGTTACGAAAGAGCATGACTTCTACGGCCCAGGGCCCGGTTTCACAAAGCAAGCGTAACCCTACGACAGTTGTAAGTCTATGTTAAACTATAGGGGTTACGGCACTCGCTTTGTGAAGCGGGGCCCAGGGTCTACTAGAAAAAAGACAGTTTGTGCAACGACTATCGTAAGTCCATGTTAAAGCAATGTAATTAAGATCGCTTTGTGCACGTAGTCCCAGGGTCACGTTTTACACAGCGATCGTATCTGGGCTACCCTATCGCCCCTCATAGGCTTAGCAGTGTGCGAAATTGTCCATTGCCCGGAAGCCCGTGGCTACTAAAAATGCAGTCGGGCCAGTAAATCTCCACAGTCACTGGCTAGTGAATTTTCATGGGGTCATTTTGTAAATATATCACTCTCTCCCACTTGTTAAGTAATAATACACTTTTAAATCATGCAAGATTATGGCCTGATAAAAATGTTCATCGTATTAGCAGCTTAATGATGAAACCCGTGTCATGCCGACAATATCTTATCCCATCTATTTTTGCAATTTTTGTGTGCTTAGTTTCTACATTCAAATTTCGGGCTAGTTCACCATTTTGTGGGCTAGTAACTTTCAGGCATTGCTAGCCCGACTAGCTAGCAAAATGTGGAAAGTATTTCGCACACTGATAGGCTTACGAATATCGCAGCTACGTTGATGGAGGCCCACATTTCGAAAAGCATTCCCATGGTTGCGTCCTGAGATATCTGGGAACTATTCTGAAATGGGAAGCACAGGGACTCACACAACCTCATCACAGCAAAGATTATGCACTCACTACCCGTCTTATTGTAATCACATGTGTGCGCTTGGGGAGTAGTTTTAGTCGATTAATTGTGTTGCACATTGCTCACGGAAGTTCAGTGAGCACTTCTTTGAGCAATCTCTGTCATGATCAGTGCCTAAAACTGAAGCCTACTGACACACATTGCGCGAGTAATATTACAGGTAGACCAACATCTTGTCTCTGAAACAAACATTTTACAGACAGAAAAAAACGGTCCATGAATAATAATTATAAGATATGATCGAAAAATAGCCCCGAGGGTAAAAAAGATTGCTGTTACTGCTGGTGGTATATCAGGTCAGGAACAACCATCTTGGATTTTCATTGACAGTATACGGGATCATGCTTCGTTAATTACGAAATACGCCCACACAGCATGCATTCACCGGCGAATGTGGAGCGTGGTGTATGTAAATCGGCGAAGCAGAGACACGAAACAGCTGTTCCATTGTTAATCGGCAATCAATTTTCATTTCAGATCAACCTCGGATCACGGCCCTACGTTTTTCTACCAACCACGGGCAGAACGTTCTACTCGAGCATCACGGGAAATGTGCACAATGGAGTCTCAGCTGTCACTGTGGCACATGCTGTACCAACCGATCCTTGCCGAAAGGCGAAAACTGGACTTCAAAATTTCAGGAAGCGGGCATCTCCTACTTGGCCTCGTGTCTCACAAACCTGATACTGCTTCTACGCAGAATATGGACATTACGAAAGTTGAACAAAACGCCAATTGGACCCATTTCCGGTTCAAGAAGGAAACGACCAGGGTTACCCTCTCTCGCACAAAGTCACGAGAGGTCACGTTTTCTCGCGAGCTGAAAGATAAGACGGAAGAAAATACCTTCCACATTCAGGGCCAGGATCTGTTCGTTTTCTTCGAAATACAGTTCGGAGACATTGTTATTGAAATGACATCAGGTAAGGGCTTTTGTGAAATATAGAAGTTCACGGTATGTACTTATGTACACAATTACTTAACTTTCACAGTATTTTCTGGAACAAATAGATTTTTGAAAAGAACTCGTTGAACGTATTTCAACGTCGGGTTGTTTGTCCAATGACAACTAGATATGAGAAGTACTTAACTTGGATGAGTGAGTTTAGTTTTGCGCCGCTTTTAGCAGTATTCTAGCAATATCACGGCGGGGGACACCAGAAATAGGCTTCACACATCATACCCATGTGTGGAATCGACCCTGGGTCTTCGGCATGACGTGCGAACGCTAGGCTACCCTGTCTCCCCGAGAAGTACCTGGATCGTTGTGAGCCTCGGCATATCAGCTCTCAGAACTTGCTTTGGCGGATTTAGAGTAAGATAATACTTTGGGTCGATGCTTACGCTGTCAACCCCTGGATACTGTTGGTATGCTTGATTTACGGGCTATAACATTGCAGCAATAGTTTATGCTCCTTATATCGTTTACGTAAATTACCTCACTAACTCATCCGCTGCGGAATCCACCGCCCCAGCTCACCGCAGACTCGGTAGTTCCTCAGCAGATACAAGTCCTTACACACAGACTCACCCGTGAAGATATGGGTTAGAATTGGTCTTCAGCCATCCATACTTGTCGTAAGAGGCACCTACCGGGATGGTCAGGCCCGCTGACTTGGTTGACACATGCCAAATTGCGTAGATGGATGCTCATACTGTTGATCACTGGATTGTCTGGTCCAGACTCGATTATTTACAGACCGATGCCATGTAGCTGTACATTGCTGAATTCTGAACAAAACAGAAACACACACATACTCACTCATTACCACATTGGCTGCATGCACACACACAAAATTTAATGTCGAACGACAAACTCGTGTATCCAACTGGTATGTTTCTGTTGCAACGGGGTCGTGTTCTAGTGGTTAAAGCGGTCGCTCGTCATGCCAAAGATCCGGGTGCGATTATCTACAAGGGAACAATGTGTCAAGTCCATTTCTAGAGTCCCCAGCCGTGATATTGCTGGAATATTGCTAAAAGCGGCCTAAAACAATACTCACTCACTCTGTTACCCAACCTTCCAGAGTTATGCAGTTACTCTGTAACGTTTACACAGCTCATTTCCAATTTCTATAAATGCAAAACATGAATTGGTGATCATGAGTGTCTGAAATTATTATGGCCCGTTATGATCAATATTGTTTACATCATTTGTAAACTTGACTGTTACACCAAAAACAGCACTCAGTCTTTGTCATTTGAACTGAAGGCCCAATGCTTCTGACATAAAACGCCGAATGTCAAATCATAACGCAATGTATTGTTTGCGTGGAATCACATAATTAATTCTGAATTATATTTTGCAGATAACAACAAGAAAACAATTTGTTTTGATAAGGAATGCGGTTCGAATATGATTCTCGAACATCATGGGAAGCGCGCAAGTCTGAAGCAATGTAATCTCAGCGCACTTTGCTGCACGGATCGAGCGCTGGCACCAGGGGAAGTAATCGACCTTCACATTTCTCCAAAGATGGCGCGAGCTGGACATATGTCAAACTTTTCGTGTCGAACCAGAATAGTTCCCAGCTAGAGCTCCAAAAATATAGAAGTCAGTCCAGATTCGTTCCTCTACCCTCCCGAAGGAATAAAAGTGGACAAAAGGGGCACTGTACAGATTCGTTTGAGTGAGGCAGGGGAGATTGTGTATTCGGTGCAGACGAAGGAAGCGAGGCAAACCATCAGAGGTGTTGGCCTTGACCTTCATCGACCCCTGTATCTCCACGTGGAACTCTTTCGTGTGAAGGTGGAAATAGAATCGACACTTCCGGAAGAAGGTGATTTACCTCGCCATTAGAGATTAAGTACAGATTTTAATGCCAAAAAATTATAAAGAACAAATTCATTTTAAATAGAGCTACCCGAGGGAATTATTACTCGGGTAAATATTGGCAAGCTGTACCATAGAGCTATACAGAGAATCCTTATAACTGGCAAATAGGTCTGACCTCCCATTTTCAGAAACAGTATCGGGTGTATATTTTCTAAAGAAACACATATTATATACTGCTGACATACAGAACCCGGTATCGACTGCTCACAGACACATTTTGCGCTCATGACTGAAATAATGCAATGCCAAATTTAAATGACTGACTGACTGAGTTTAGTTTTACGCGGCTTTTAGCAATATTCCAGCAATATCACGGCGGGGGGACACCAGAAATGGGCTTCACACATTGTGCCCATGTGGGGAATCGAACCCGGGTCTTCGGCGTGACGAGCCAACGCTTTAACCACTAGGCTACCCCACCGCCACGCCAAATTTAAACTGACACTGGTTATATATAAGCTGCTTCCTTCGCTACTTGGTATCGTTATTTTGTGATCATCTGGAGATATATACAGTGTTCTCTTAACAGATTTTAATTAAGTGTCCGTAGTATGACACACATTATTTAGAATTAGGTCAATGTGATATATCAATCATTGGAAAGGATGCATGGACGTTCGGAACATGTGTAAATGAAGGAGTGGTTGTAGTATTTCTCATTATGTACGTATGTGTGTTCGTAGTGTGGTTATTTAGAGTTAGGGCCCCAGAAGATTATTCAGTTCGTGAGAGGCAGGGGAGATAACTGATGATGGGGAGGCAATGTTTGGTATTGATGAAGGGAAACTGATAATTACCTATCAACTGATGACTCATTATTATGCATCACTGTACAAGCAAGACAATTTGGTTGACAATGGTTGTTTAAGATCCATATCATTGACTATCATTTCAGAAGCAACCTATCTCACTGCCTCACTGATAGAAGATGACACGTACCTGCAACCAGTGTCAGACCCAAGAACCACTTCATCCTGTTCCACAGGTGTAACAGGATTTGCAGAAGTGTCATCCCTATCCCATACTGATTTAACTGACCGGGAGTACTCTACGATACCAAACGAAACCCTTGTGGACATCTTTCCCGACCCATCTCAGACGTTTCTAAAGCATCCTAATGCAGATTTAAACAGTCTTAGCTCAACGGAAAAAATAGAAACAAAGAAACAACAGGGGGAAAAAACAGAAAGCAGCTTAGATGAACCCCCGACGATCTCATTCCCAAGGCAGTATCAAGGAGATTTAGGAGGTGGGGCCACAGAAGCAAGTGGTCCTACCCAAGGTCAGTATTCTCCACAAGGACAACCAACAGGTGGTTCCTCTGGTCCTGAGAGCTTCGAACCTCCTTCTACACCTATTCCTCAGGATGCCATGTCCTTTCAAGTGATTGAGCATCTAACGTCACGTCTTGAAACTGTCCTAATGGGTGGACAAAGACCCACTGGTGTCCAGAATGAACCAAACCGAGACCCCAGCCCAGCTTCTTCCTTCGGCGAGAAGATACGCACGAATTATGTACAACTACTAGACAGACTTGAGCCCGATCCAATTGCTGACCATTTGTTTCAGAGCGGAAATATATCGGACGCCGAACAATATGCCTTCCATGAGAAGGACAAGAAGGGCAAGAGTCGTTTTGTTTTACAGATTCTGAAGACGCGACCTCGCACCAAGGACACATTTATCAAAGCCCTGAAACAGTCTGCCCAAGGAGACATCGTGGACCTACTTGGACTTCACTGACGGTTACCCGATTATTTGCAGTGTTTTTGTGAAGAGGGATGTTTCAACAAGAATGCGCACGTTAGCCTGTGCAGTTAAAGGGTTAGGTCGTGATCCTTGAAGGGCCGTGTTTGATTCACCATATGGGCCCACAACGAGAAAGCCATTCTAGTGAGCGAGTTTAGTTTTACGCAGCTTTTCGCAATATTCCTGCAGTATTGGTGGGGACACGAGAAATGGGCTTCACTCATTGTGCCCATGCGGGGAATCGAACCTAGGTCTTCGGCGTGATGAGCAAACGCCTTAACCACTAGGCTACACCACCGTCCCATGTATTTTGAGACGTACATTTTACCGAGATGTTGTTTTGAATGAATACCTTGTATTTGATATAAAGGCCCAAATGATCAGATCTTTAAAGTCTGATGACTATCCTAAAAGTCTATAACATTGCTTTATATTTGTCTAACTGTATTTATGTTCGGAGGTAGATGGTATGAAATGTATTATTCTTAACTGTCTTACCATTGTAATATGGATGTATTGTGATCAGCAGCCATGAGTGAGTGAGTGAGTTAGTTGGGTTTGAGGCCGACTTGAAGTATTCCTGTGAAACCACGTCGCTTCTGCTTGGTGTGTTTGGGACACCCGACTGTCAGACGCAACCCACGGGCATGGGGATGGTGCTGATAATCCAAGAAACGTATTCAGAGCGAACTTGAATTCGAACCCACGATCCAGGGTTTCTGGTGAGGCTTCGGGACCCAACTCTGTAGAACGAATTGATGGCCTTAGACGGTGGCAACCTAGCTGTGCCCAATATCTTAACTATCAAAACACGGTTTTCTGTGTCTTGTACACCTTGAAAGGTGGTTCCAAACAAATGGTGTTTCTTTGATAATTTGTAATTTTGACTATATGACCAAAGATTCCACGTTAAGCTACATATCTGTACTTCTTTGTAGTGCATATGAGCAAGAGAGTTTGGTTTAACGCTTTTAGCAATACTCTAGCAATATCCCGGAAGGGGACACCAGTAATGGGCTTCACGCATTGTACCCATGTAGGGGAATCGAACCCGGGTCTTCGGCGTGACGAGCCAATGCTGTAACCACTAAGCTATCGCATTGCCACTAGAGCATATGAAAGACTATTATCCTTAATTTAATTGGTGCGGTGGAGTAGCCAAGTGGATAAAGCGTCTGCTCGTCACGCTGAAGACCCGGGTTCGATTCCACACATGGGCACAAAGTGTGAAGAAAACGGAACTGTGTCCACATTGTTCTTATTGGAATACAATATATGTCACGTTGAGCCAACTACAAAGGAAATTAACACCCCGTATTGTTGCAAAAAAAAGTTGTTTCTTAAGTTTGTTTCTTTGTACGTATAAGGAACCCAGTTACGACACGTATACGAAGAAGGTGTAGATAAATATATGTATATATCGTTTTAAGATCAGGTCACATATAAGTATTACAGGACAACTCTTGCGGTGTTCTTTAGTCAGCAATTTGTTTTAAGACTTGCGTAATCACTGATTTCAGTGATCCATTCATATAATTTCTACCACTGGTTTGCATTTCACGCCCAGTGGAATCTGTTTGGAAATAAGGTCTGATTATCATCTGGCGTTGAAGGTTGATATCCTTTGTCATCATTCATCAAGATTCCTCTCAACATCCATCCTCCTTTTATTTCAGTTACACAATTAATCAACATTAATAGTCAGAACCATATATGACTTCATTGTTTTAAATGCGATGCAGTTGTTTTGTCATTTTGTTTTTTTCTGTGCTTATTGCCTGTTTTAAACTTTGTGGGTCGGAATAAAAACCAAATACGTTGGGGACTGTTATGGCTAAGGTGTGGGGTTGGGGTGGCGGTGAAGGTTGGGTGGGGGTGCTTATGATTTTAATTGGGAGGGTGGTCACACATTTTGTTTTTGGGAGGAAGGGGTAATGAATTTCGTACATAGCAACATTTACAATTTATGCTTAAGAATTATGGGAAGGGGGTGGGGTGGTATGGGGGTCATTGATTTTGTACATGACATGCAGGGAGGTCGCTTACTTTGTACATAAATTTTAGAGGGGGGGGGGGGGTATTTACATTGTACATGCTTCTAAATTTGCTTACTTAAACTACCAGTAAGGGTTATTCCGTGCCTATCTACGCATTCACTTTCAGACAGTTATTCACCAAGATATCAACAGTTGCGAGATACAAAAGTGTTGTGATTTTATCACTATATTTAATAATAAAACCTTATTTCCTGACATCGGTTTCTCAGTGTTTCATTTTTCCATTCCCCAATTCTGAGGCTAGGAATTTGTTTTGTTGAATGACCCATGGTTGATGGCTACAGGTTGATGGTAAAACAGGCTGTGACGTTGGTGTCGCCATTGTTCCATAGTTACCGAGATACATTTGAATGTATGGTGAAAGGTATAAACCATATTCTTATCCTTGATAATAAACAATGCTTATCTACAAAAGAATTTGTGAAGATGAAGAACATGAAATGCCTTTGTAACGCACATTCCACTAAAATTTGGCGTACACAAATATATGATTGTATTTACGATCAGTGCGTTTCGTCAGAATCCAAAATGTAGTTGCCATGGATTCACTGTTTAGGTATGTGTAGGCCATTCTGTCACAGGCCCTGAATAGTTGTCATGGTTGCTCTGTTTAACTAGAGGTAGGCCATTCCGTTACAGACAAAGAATAGTTGTTGTGGTTGTACCGTGTTATGTAGGTGTAGGCCATTCCGTTACAGACAAAGAATAGTTGGTGTGGTTGTACCGTGTTATGTAGGTGTAGGCCATTCCGTTACAGACAAAGAATAGTTCATGTGGTTGTTCCGTGTTATGTAGGTGTAGCCTATTCCGCTACAGACAAAGAATAGTTGGTGTGGTTGTACCGTGTTATGTAGGTGTAGGCCATTCCGTTACAGACAAAGAATAGTTCATGTGGTTGTACCGTGTTATGTAGGTGTAGGCCATTCCGTTACAGACAAAGAATAGTTGTTGTGGTTGTACCGTGTTATGTAGGTGTAGGCCATTCCGTTACAGACAAAGAATAGTTGGTGTGGTTGTACCGTGTTATGTAGGTGTAGGCCATTCCGTTACAGACAAAGAATAGTTGGTGTGGTTGTACCGTGCTATGTAGGTGTAGGCCATTCCGTTACAGACCCTGAATAGTTGATGTGGTTGTTCCGTGTTATGTAGGTTAGGCCATTCCGTTACAGACAAAGAATAGTTGATGGGTTGTACCGTGTTATGTAGATGTAGGCCATTCCGTTACAGACAAAGAATAGTTGATGTGGTTGTACCGTGTTATGTAGATGTAGGCCATTCCGTTACAGACAAAGAATAGTTGATGTGGTTGTACCGTGTTATGTAGGTGAAAGCCATTCCGTTACAGACAAAGAATAGTTGATGTGGTTGTACCGTGTTATGTAGGTGTAGGACATTCCGTTACAGACAAAGAATAGTTGGTGTGGTTGTACCGTGTTATGTAGGTGTAGGCCATTCCGTTACAGACAAAGAATAGTTGATGTGTTGTACCGTGTTATGTAGGTGTAGGCCATTCCGTTACAGACAAAGAATAGTTGGTGTGGTTGTACCGTGTTATGTAGGTGTAGCCTATTCCGCTACAGACAAAGAATAGTTGGTGTGGTTGTACCGTGTTTATGTAGGTGTAGGCCATTCCGTTACAGACAAAGAATAGTTCATGGTTGTACCGTGTTATGTAGATGTAGGCCATTCCGTTACAGACAAAGAATAGTGGATGTGGTTGTACCGTGTTATGTAGGTGTAGGCCATTCCGTTACAGACAAAGAATAGTTCCATGGTTGTTCCGTGTTATGTAGGTGTAGCCTATTCCGCTACAGACAAAAGAATAGTTGGTGTGGTTGTACCGTGTTATGTAGGTGTAGGCCATTCCGTTACAGACAAAGAATAGTTGATGTGGTTGTACCGTGTTATGTATGTGTAGGCCATTCCGTTACAGACAAAGAATAGTTGTTGTGGTTGTACCGTGTTATGTAGGTGTAGGCCATTCCGTTACAGACAAAGAATAGTTGATGTGGTTGTACCGTGTTATGTAGGTGTAGGCCATTCCGTTACAGACAAAGAATAGTTGTTGTGGTTGTACCGTGTTATGTAGGTGAAGGCCATTCCGTTACAGACAAAGAATAGTTGATGTGGTTGTACCGTGTTATGTAGGTGTAGGCCATTCCGTTACAGACAAAGAATAGTTGGTGTGGTTGTACCGTGTTATGTAGGTGTAGCCTATTCCGCTACAGACAAAGAATAGTTGGTGTGGTTGTACCGTGTTATGTAGGTGTAGGCCATTCCGTTACAGACAAAGAATAGTTCATGTGGTTGTTCCGTGTTATGTAGATGTAGGCCATTCCGTTACAGACCCTGAATAGTTGGTGTGGTTGTACCGCGTTATGTAGGTGTAGGCCATTCCGTTACAGACAAAGAATAGTTCATGTGGTTGTTCCGTGTTATGTAGATGTAGGCCATTCCATTACAGACAAAGAATAGTTGTTGTGGTTGTACCGTGTTATGTAGGTGTAGGCCATTCCGTTACAGACAAAGAATAGTTGATGTGGTTGTACCGTGTTATGTAGGTGTAGGCCATTCCGTTACAGACAAAGAATAGTTCATGTGGTTGTTCCGTGTTATGTAGGTGTAGCCTATTCCGCTACAGACAAAGAATAGTTGGTGTGGTTGTACCGTGTTATGTAGATGTAGGCCATTCCGTTACCGACAAAGAATAGTTGATGTGGTTGTACCGTGTTATGTAGGTGTAGGCCATTCCGTTACAGACAAAGAATAGTTGATGTGGTTGTACCGTGTTATGTAGGTGTAGGCCATTCCGTTCCAGACAAAGAATAGTTGGTGTGGTTGTACCGTGTTATGTAGGTGTAGGCCATTCCGTTACAGACAAAGAATAGTTGGTGTGGTTGTACCGTGCTATGTAGGTGTAGGCCATTCCGTTACAGACCCTGAATAGTTGATGTGGTTGTTCCGTGTTATGTAGGTTAGGCCATTCCGTTACAGACAAAGAATAGTTGATGTGGTTGTACCGTGTTATGTAGATGTAGGCCATTCCGTTACAGACAAAGAATAGTTGATGTGGTTGTACCGTGTTATGTAGATGTAGGCCATTCCGTTACAGACAAAGAATAGTTGATGTGGTTGTACCGTGTTATGTAGGTGAAAGCCATTCCGTTACAGACAAAGAATAGTTGATGTGGTTGTACCGTGTTATGTAGGTGTAGGACATTCCGTTACAGACAAAGAATAGTTGGTGTGGTTGTACCGTGTTATGTAGGTGTAGGCCATTCCGTTACAGACAAAGAATAGTTGATGTGGTTGTACCGTGTTATGTAGGTGTAGGCCATTCCGTTACAGACAAAGAATAGTTGGTGTGGTTGTACCGTGTTATGTAGGTGTAGCCTATTCCGCTACAGACAAAGAATAGTTGTTGTGGTTGTACCGTGTTATGTAGGTGTAGGCCATTCCGTTACAGACAAAGAATAGTTCATGTGGTTGTTCCGTGTTATGTAGATGTAGGCCATTCCGTTACAGACAAAGAATAGTGGATGTGGTTGTACCGTGTTATGTAGGTGTAGGCCATTCCGTTACAGACAAAGAATAGTTCATGTGGTTGTTCCGTGTTATGTAGGTGTAGCCTATTCCGCTACAGACAAAGAATAGTTGGTGTGGTTGTACCGTGTTATGTAGGTGTAGGCCATTCCGTTACAGACAAAGAATAGTTGATGTGGTTGTACCGTGTTATGTAGGTGTAGGCCATTCCGTTACAGACAAAGAATAGTTGTTGTGGTTGTACCGTGTTATGTAGGTGTAGGCCATTCCGTTACAGACAAAGAATAGTTGATGTGGTTGTACCGTGTTATGTAGGTGTAGGCCATTCCGTTACAGACAAAGAATAGTTGTTGTGGTTGTACCGTGTTATGTAGGTGTAGGCCATTCCGTTACAGACAAAGAATAGTTGATGTGGTTGTACCGTGTTATGTAGGTGTAGGCCATTCCGTTACAGACAAAGAATAGTTGGTGTGGTTGTACCGTGTTATGTAGGTGTAGCCTATTCCGCTACAGACAAAGAATAGTTGGTGTGGTTGTACCGTGTTATGTAGGTGTAGGCCATTCCGTTACAGACAAAGAATAGTTCATGTGGTTGTTCCGTGTTATGTAGATGTAGGCCATTCCGTTACAGACCCTGAATAGTTGGTGTGGTTGTACCGTGTTATGTAGATGTAGGCCATTCCGTTACAGACAAAGACTAGTTGATGTGGTTGTACCGTGTTATGTAGGTGTAGGCCATTCCGTTACAGACAAAGAATAGTTGATGTGGTTGTACCGTGTTATGTAGGTGAAAGCCATTCCGTTACAGACAAAGAATAGTTGATGTGGTTGTACCGTGTTATGTAGGTGTAGGCCATTCCGTTACAGACCCTGAATAGTTGCCATGGTTTCACTGTTTAAGTAGGTGTAGGCCATTCTGCTACAATAATCTGTAGGCCATTCTCCGAATAATTGCCCTGCCATGCAGGCCAATCCGTCAAAAAACCCAATAGCTGCCCTGGGTTAATTATTTTAACTACGTATATACCCATCTGTCACATCTCACAAATAGGTGTCATGATTCTTTCTTTTATTTATTTATTTTTTTTAACGTCACCTTGGCAATATTTCAGCCATATAGTGACGAGAAATGTTTTACATAAACAATAAATTTAAGTTGCTAAATAATCAGTCATCGAAGGACTGTAAAATAACTAGAGTATCACAGATGGAGTCTAAAACTAGCATGAACATGTGCAACTAATTTATTTACGAAGACAATACAATATAAAAAAGGGCTATAGGTCGCCCACAACTGAAGGTAGATCACCATACTAGGACCATGGGGAGTTACAGTGGTTTTGCTACCTGCATGGACCCAACTACTAGTTGGATTTACACCATCCCTTCAGCCGCTGGCGATTGTGAGGTGAGGTGAAATTGGGTTTAACCTTGTGCTTGGGAATATTTCGCTCACATGACGACGTGCACGCGTGTATGTGTATGTGCAGCTGCTTGTACTAGCCCAGACTTAAGCTGGTTTTATAGTGCTAGCCCACTGAGATACCATGCCGTAGTGAAACATGAATACCCACTCAGACACATTATACTGACTCCGAGCCGACCAGTTCTTGTTGTACCCATTAATGCCCAGCGCCAGGCAGGGACCAACAAGTACTTTATTTTAACGTCTTTTTTTTTGGTATGACGCGGTCGCTGGCGATTGTAGGAAAATTAAGCCGACAGTTAGAATACTACGTTTTAAAAATCTGATAAATCTAAATTTAACTTTGAAGGTTTTGGGACTTACGTAGCAGGTGTCATGATTTTGCTGTGCCGTTCCGTAGGTCATTCTGTCACATATGCACAGTACACTGTCATTGAATGATGTTTGAGGGTGTCTAAACAAACTACACATAGTTATTGGATGGTCAATTATTTAGGTGACTTATCTTACCTTTGAAGTTTGGGAACCCGTTATTAGTGTAGTAACGATTTGATATATGTATATTTCTTTTTGATTGGCAGTCAATTTACCAGAGTTTCTGTGCTACTGACAACTCATGTTTGTTGATTGGTATTTAACGCCGCACTCAGCAACATTCCATCTATATGACAGCGGTCTGTAAATAATGGACCCCAGACAATCCAGTGATCAACAGCATGAGCATCGATCTGCACACCTGGGATACGATGACGTTTGTCAACAGAGTCAGCGAGCCTGACCACCCGATTCCGTTAGCAGTCTCTTACGTCAAGCATGGGTTACTGAAGACCAATTCTGATTCTCGTGAGGCAGGGAGAGTCGTAATAGATATTTTTTACTTTTATCGAGCCATACTTTCTAATTGTCTCACTGTTGATTTAAATTCGTAATCAAGGACACTACGCATGCGCAGATACAACCTGAAATGGTGAAGATTTGTGCTATATATTTCTACCGGACTCCAACTCAGTCAGTTTGGTATTAGTGGACATATGTAACTGGGAAATCGTCTTCCCTGGTGGTTACACTGAAGGAATGGATTTGTGATTCTAGCAGTGATTCATATGGGAATGAATCCTCTTCGCTAGTATTCCAGTTACATCGTTAACGTGATGTGGGTGGGCGAGAGTGAGTGAGTGAGTGAGTGAGTGAGTGAGTGAGTGAGTGAGAGTGGGTGGGTGGGTTTGTGAGTGAGTGAGTGAGTGAGTGAGGTTTTAATCCGCTTTTATCAAATTACAGAAACATGACGACAGGCGCCTCAAGAAATCGACTTCACACATATTGTACCCATCTGGAGAATCCAACCCCAGTCTTCGACTTGACGACCCAAGTTACCCTAAAGGCCTTAGGTGTCATGGAATCTAAACACCCGAACTGTATATATAGTGATTACCACGCACCAGGTTTGAAGGTCATCTGTCGCGTGTTGCTTCCGGGTTGCATAATACCCGGTGCGTGAATGTCAAGGTAGAAGGTGAGGACGGGGTTAGCGGTCTCGGGCGTTGGGTGCTGTATTACTGAGGCGACAACCCAGAACTGTCCATACTCGGAACAGTCAGCCTAGAAGCGGTTTTACAGGATAACCAGTGTCTGTGGCAGTTCTGGTACTGGAGATGTCTCTTGGCTGTTCAGTAGTGTCAGATTCTACCACATAACTAGTGTGTACTCGGTGTCTATGACACGGTGAGAGTCTTTGGAGAGTCTTCACTTTCTGTGTCGCAGTAGAAAACTCGCGTGGAAGTCAATGGTTTAAAGACGGGATTTCGTGATGTCAGAGCCACTTGGGTTTCCGGGAAACAGTGAGTATATCTGCACTGTCACATGTGTTTGTCGATCGGGGATGCTTCGTATTTTATCAGTCCTCAAACATGGGTCTATGCTCTCTTTCAAATATGCATGCACACTGTACTTTCAAACATGGATGTACACAGCACTTGTAAACATTTATGGAAACCGTAATTCCAAACATTGGTGCACACTGTACTTTTAAACGTGGATGTACTGTTTTACAAACATGAGACACTTGTGCGGGGGGTTGTCCGTGATAAATTAGTTTATTTCAAATGCCGAAAACACAGATTCAATAGGGTGAGCTAAACGGAGGTGAAATTGGGTTTAACGTCGTGCTTGAGAATATTTCGCTCATATGACGACGTGCATGCGTGTGTATGTGTATGTGCGGCTGCTTGTACTAGCCCAGACTTAAGCTATAGTGCTAGCCCACTGAGATACCATGCCGCAGTGAAACATGAATACCCCACTCAGACACATTATACTGACTCCGAGCCGACCAGTCCTTGTTGTACCCATTAATGCCGAGCGCCAGGCAGGGACCAACAAGGTCCATATTTTAACGTCATTTGGTATGACGCGGTCGGGGATCGAATCCGCGACCTTTCCCCCCTCCGGGAGGACGCTCTAACCACTACACCACGGAGGCGGTCGATTCAATAGGGACGACGTGTAAAACTCAAGTCTGGTGTACCCCGTCGTGATATCGCAGGAATTAATCCACGCTGGAAAAACATCGAGAAAAACACATTAAATTAGTGAAATAGATTTTGAAGAATAATTCGTTGATATTCTAAGAGAGCTGGATCTGAAACAGCGATTGATGCAGGGCGCCTATACAACTAGGATGTGGGACTTCACCATCTATATTTAGATCCATGTTATACTGATAGGTCGCCATGACACACACAACAAACTGGATTTCCCTGTATGACGGATATATGAAACAATAGGTAGGTCACCTCGACTCACCTTGTACCAGGATCACACAGGTGGAGTGGAGAACATGATACGAGCACCTCCGCTGTCGATACAAAAGGCACTCACGCAAGATGCAGATATTTCACTTTTTCAAGCTCCAACGTGTGATTATAATGCGTCAGCTCGGTGGCTGTCTGGATATTTTAACGTACATGTTATGTATAGAACTTTGTAATACTTTACCTTTGCTACGCCTACCTTAGATACGGGCAGTGTTTGCAATGCTTCAATTTGCCAGTTGGCCATCAGGGCCTGCTGCCGCCTGCAGGCTTTAAAATCTACAGGCCCTGAATGAAATCTGCAGGCCCATTTTGTTGAAGTCAAACCAATAAACACATAACAGACTACACTGTACACAGCTTCACACTGTTTCTACAAAATCAGTTAACGAAGCTTATGGCGCAGAGAGAAGTTTTCATTTGTGTGAGACTGGTGTTGACATTCCTATGCGCAAAGCGCTGAAATACCAGGAAGAGAAACTGTAAGTTATGTAAGTATCATAACATGATGGATCATGGATGATTCCCGAACGTTAATAAAGAAAAACATTATTGGAAAGATTCTAGTTGAAAAATATGACAGACAATTTACTGAAGGCCACAAGGGTCTGCAAATATTTGAAACTGCCGGCCCGATACAATAACAACCGGCGCTTGGCCTCCAGGCCGGCGACTATTTCGAACGCTGGATACGGGGCGGTAGTAGCCTAGTGGTTAAAGCGTTCGCCCGCCACGCCGAAGAGCCGGGGCGGTAGGTTAGTCTATGGTTAATGCGTTTGCACGTAACGATGAAAACCGGGGTTCGATGGGTTCCATGTTTAAAGCCCATTTCTCGTGCCCTCCGCCTTGTTAATGCTAGAAAATTGTTTTATAACGACGTGAAACTAAACTTACTAACTACCGAAAACCAAAATAATGTAATCAATTAGCCAAATAGATTATCAAAATCTTAGCATTCACAAACTTAGCCTCAGTATTATTCGTTACACTGCTACACTGAGTCTAACAAAACCGTGTGGAAGGTCGCGTCAGGTAACCTTTGAGCGACCTTTGACCGTCCAATCAAACGCGAGACGACAGAACGGATTTAACGAATCAGACAACGGCTACTATTTAGATTTCGGCGGGACTTACAAAATGGATTTACTCTTCCCCGGTCGCAAACACTGATCTGACAACAAATGAAAATCCGTATAAAACACAGATATATGACCTGCAGAATTAACGCTTTGGGGTTTCTGTTGACATGGTTATCATTAGCTAATATTTCCGCAAGCTGACATCCTTGAATACTGACAAAACGCTATTTTCAGCGACTGTTTACTCACGGTTGTGGCGTGCCCCATGTGCATCACTGGGAAGCGATCGTACGGAAAACAGCATTCGGAATCGTTCGGGAACAAAACTGTTTCGAGGTAAGAGTTCAAAAGGAATGTGCATATGCCATTGGAATGTGCCAGATACGGGTTTTCAATATTGTGGCCCCTATGAGCTTTCGTATCAAGACCGCATATTAATAATTTGTTCTGTTTATAGTATCTTGTTTTTAAACATGATCACTTGAAATTTAGAAATAGCCAATTTAAATATCAAGACTGCAGCATGGAGTCCTTTCAGTAGTTCTTTCAGTAGTTTCCTTATATTACCTTGAATTTTCCATAAAGACACAAATTGTAAGATGATTAAAACTGGCATGACTCTACTGCGCTACAGCACTTTTGAAAGGAAACATTTAAATATCTTTGCAGCAGATTTATTCCAATTCTGTGACAAGCACGGACAGAATGTGCGCCTGGCAAATGGAAAGAAGACAGTGTTGTGGGCCCAGAGTTGTTTTGACGGCAAGTGCTTCATCTCAGAGCGTCTCTCCAAAGGCGGACATTTCACACTCAAGCTATCCGGGAGTGGTTCAATCCTTCTAGGACTTGCGGACAGACGGCCAAAATCCGACGAAATCCATGATGTTGAGAATAAACTGTCATCAAACTGTGTCTATTTGCAGCCGTATGACATGCATAAACAGAGGAGCTTCACAGTGTCACTTTCTCGCGAGAGGTCTCGAGAAATAAAAGTCAAAGGCGATAATGACAGAGTACTAACGATCAACAGCGGAAATATCTATGTGGTCCTTGAGCTGCTGTTTGGAGACTTGGTAGTTGACCTTCTAGCAGGTGAATGTTGTTTTATGTCGGTGCTGGTCATAAGTGTTTGTTGTATAACGTTCTGCGCATGTTCTGGGTATATGACAGAGATATGTAAATAACTGACTATGGTCCATCAGTCCAGTGACTGAATTCATGAGCATCGATCCTTGTACTTTGGACACGATGACATGCAGGAACCAGATTAGAGAGCCTCGCCAATAGACCCCGCTTTTATCAGTTGTCCAAGAGTGAAAAGATTTGATTAAATCCGCGACCCAGATGACCCAAGTCATCGTTTTAATTCAACATTGTCTCCTATAAGTATGTCTTTATGATAAGTATTTCTGCCTTTAAGTGCACACATGAATATATGACAAAATCTACTTTTTTATAGTGTGGCACACATTTTGAAAGGAACAGCAGCCATGTCTCTCTGGTAGTAACGGTGAATAGAGTCGAAACATGTCCGGCAGAGATATACAACATTTTGGTGTCATAAAACTATTACTTATTCTCAAATGAATTTATGTGAGATACTCATTTCTAAAAAGAACATACTTGTATCTTATATTAGTTGGTGCTCAGCATGAAAGGAGTAACTATTTGTGTAAGCAGACAATAACTTGTAAGTGTACATTTTGTCGACTTCTTATTTCGGACTGAATATATATATAATTAAGTTAAGTTACATTATGGATACGTAAGTCAAATCCCTGCCCTAATATACATAGCGTCTTCCCAAAGAGAGAGGTCAGTGGTTCATCTAAGCAATGGATATTGTGTGTGGAGAAAAATGTGTAGACATTTCTTCAGTTAGACTGAGAATAAATATTCCTTTCATCAAAGAACGTGAATGGACTTTTTTGGGTAATTTTAAGACATTCCAATTATTCTTCCACAGTCCTAATGGCACATTGTGATGTTACTAAATTATATTTTCAGATGATGGGAAGAAATATAAATTTGACGAGACTTGCGGCCCAAACATAGATCTTTCAAGAGACTTTACAACTGTGTGTCTTAAAAATGCCTATAGCGAGGCTGTCTGTGCAGCTGGTCGACCTTTAGATAAAAGGGAGACAATCCATCTCATCTTTAATCCTGTGGACGAAGCAAGCTGGTGCCACATGACCACGTATCTATCCAATAAGAGTCCCACAATGGTGGATGCACATAATATGGAGAGGGGGATGAGATCTCGCGTGAAATTCAAAATGCGAGGGTCAGTCCAACTGTGCTTACAAGATGACAACGTTCCTTGTTATACATTGAATGGACAGAAGAAGTTGGCCGACGTCCGCGACCTTGACATTACCGCTCCCGTGTACCTCTACATTCAACTCTTCCGAGTTCGAGTGGACCTTCGAAGCGAGCCAAAACGTGCGTATCTTGTATTATCTTACCTCACACATAAATATCGCTTTTTGATTGGCTGAGCGCTCTTCTATTATGTTCAATGTACCCGCTTACGAGCGAGTAACATTTCAATGTACCCCGCTGTCAATGGTAACTCATTTGGTACTTCGTGGTAGTAATTCTTTATCTCGAATAACATTGAATCACGTATGATGTACGGAAATTACCGATGTTTTGCGAATGCAAATCGATGGAAGGGAGATAACTCTAAATCTGTTTTTCTTGTCTGCAAAATCTAGCGATGGCTACAAAAAGATTTGTACCCGTGCTTCAAACAATTCAAAATTAACATTAAGGTGTTCGGTAAGATAATATACGTTGTTCACTGGACCCTCGGGCCCATGGGTTGATGTAACCGCGATGTTTGTATATGTTTGAACATATACAAACATCGAGGGTACATAAGCCCATGCCCCCCTCGTGGCCAGTGAACAACTTATAATGTCCGTTAGTTCCAAAAACATATACTATGCATACATTTTGTACAGACATGGGTGTCTCACAGGCCCTGGACCACATCGTATCCCACAACCTAACCCTCCCTGCAATGCTAAAGCCTTAAATGAAGCAAGTCTAGATTTCCTAAGGTTGAGAATCTCTGGTCTCCATTGGGGCTCCTTTTCAATTTAAAAGGATTTATTTGTTAAAATAAAAATTATATATACTCTTCAAAAAAAAAAAGAAACTCGACATGCTGTTTTGGAGTTTACATACTGCGTGCATATAACTGATCCAAACGTGTGTAGTTCTTGTTGTGTCTGAGGTGGCGGAATACGATCAAGAGTATCCCATAGAAGTTCATTGGCGGACATTGGTGGCTTTTTCAAGCCTACAGTCACAGGCTTCAGCTCAGGGTGATACACCATTTCATGATGCTTGTGCATTTCATGTAGCGTGCGTTTTAGCGATTCACTACAGACGTGAGTGCAACGTTACGTGTTTGTTAAACGTTTCTTTTTTCAAACGTTTTGTCGTCGGCAACCATTCCCTCACATGCTAGGATTCAGCATGGATTGGTTTGTGTCAAATATTTTCTTAAACTTCAAATTTGTCCTATGTCAAGTTTCTTTTTTTTGAAGACTATATATTCAGAGACTAAACTTTAGCCTAATGCTTCAGTAACAAAATACAGTTTCATCACCTCTATGGTGCAGAGGATAGAGCATCTACTACGACATACTAAGTGAGAGAATATGGTTTTACGCCGCTTTTAGCAATATTCTAGCAATATCACAGCGGAGATTCATCGGGAATGAGCCTCATACAGTGTACCCACATGGGTAACCGAATCCGGGGTTTTGATGTGACGAGCGCACGGACTAACCACTAGGCTCCCCCCACCTCTCAGTAACAGAAGGTATTTGAGGGGATCCGTATTGAGGGGATTTTACAAGGACTTGTAAGTATCGGCGTGTCCAACTTACAACCGTTCTCTTTGTTGTCTAACACTTTAAAACCAGCAAGATTCTAGCAGAAGCAGCCATACACACGCACGCAATCTCGCACGCACGAACATGCACCTGTGCACGCACGTTGCCATAATAAAATAATTTGACCGTAACGGCACGACGTTCAACTCTATTTCACACTACCTATTGCTGGTAACATGCCCGACGTCAAGTTCGGATCACACAAAAAATACTTTGTCTTTTGAATCTTTCTATAAAGAATCATCTTCATTGTCAAACTGGCAGTAAAGGACATCGGTGCAAGGCTAGTATTACATATATATCAAGTAGGAAAATTAAAATCACTGGCTAAAAACAGCCTTTAAACCGTTGAAAATAAACACAACTGAAGCATAAGGTTTCGGTAGTTTGATGTAGAGGCGCTATTTGATTCTCCGTTCCGAACTGCCCTTGTACGTTCGTTTTCGTGACAGTGATATCTGATATGCTGCATATTCTGAGAACTATAAGAGTAAGTGAGTTAAAATTTAATGTCACATCGGCAATATTTCAGCCATATCGAGAATTTGAATATAAATACTAAATATATTAGGAATAAGAATAAGATTACACTCAGGCCTGGTCACTGGACAATTCACCGGATGTGACCAACTGTTGAGAGTTTGTCTTGACGAAGAAAGTAGAATTTCGTAATGTCCTATTATATTTTTCATCTATGTTTTTTTTGCAGCTCGAACTGTCTCGACTAACTCTTCAAAATGCGTCAAGGATGGTCTTGATCATGGATCTATTCTCAGTGGAATCCCAAGTGAATCTCAAAGACCTGCAGTAGACGCTTGTACCACGGGGCGTCGAATGACAAAGAAATCGTTCTCGGATTTGATCCAGAGCAATCGCGTTTATCTGAAAGAATTCCTTGATCCACATCCTTTGGCCGATCATCTTGTAGGGGATCATAAAATGTCACCCACAGAAGCAGAAAAGTTTCAGGAATTGAGACATAGGCTGGAGAAATGTGATATGGTTCTTCACATCCTCATGATGGACCCAACAACTGAAGGGACATTTATAAAAGCCATGGAATACCCGGAACACCCCCAGAAACACATTTTAACTAAGCTCGGCTTGTTGGAAGGGTCGACTTCTGCGGGTAGTGAAGCCTAGGCAGCAAGAAATAAATCTGAACTACTGTAGATTGACTGTTACTGACGATAAGTCTTTGGATTTTCGCCAGGGGCAACACTTGCCACGATATATTTGGCTTCCCACGTTTAATTTCAGCTTAATATCCGTTTTGATATGTACTAGTGAGTGAGTTGAGTTGACACCACTTTTAGCAACATTCCAGTATATCTACTGGGGACACTAGTAATTAGCTTTATACATTCTACCAATGGGGAAAATCGAACCTGGGCCTTCGGTGTGACGAGGGAACGCTTTAACCACTTGGCTACCCCTACGTCCCTGATAAGTACTAAGAGGTGATAAAAAAGTTTCAAAACAACATATTTTCACATATAACTGATCAACGTTAACCTTTTTTATGTATATATTTATCTGACGTCTCTCGGTTATTCAGGATTTTTTCAATTTTGATATTCCACTAGTGATATGATAGCCAGGTTCCATGAAGGTTCAGACAGATAGACAGATACCTTCTATAAAGCAACATGTACATTATTTTATGAAAGCTACAATCGTATCGTTGATTTTATATGTTGAATAAACCTTGACTATTTTGAACATCCAGAATTGCCTTTCAAGGAAAATGATGTTTAATGTCAGGGACATTTCAAGAACCGAATATATATTGAACTGACACATTTTGCATTTTTTGGTGCACTTTTTGATTAAGTTAATATAAAAATTTCGAAACAAAACATGAACAGCTGAGAACTATTAGGGCAGAATTTGTTTTCAACAAATAATCACCATCCTCACCGTTGATTTTATTTTGAAGTGATGCATTTATAAATAGGTACGAGATACAAAACAATACATATACAGTATACCCTGGTTATAATACCACCGTTTTTCCAGGAGAAAATATGGCATTATATCCAGGATGGTATTATAACCACGTAGGACAGTTCGAGGCCCTATGCAATCAAGCTGGTGATTGAGCTGATATCTCCTCTAATGAGCTTTGAAAGACTGGAGAATCCAAGAGTCTAAGGGCCGCAGGTGACTTGTTGTAGGTGGCAGGGAGTGTATTGATACATGTGTTGTCCTATCTGAGATTACATGACTATTTAAAGCAGTAATGAGTTTAGTTAGTCAATTAATTTGAGTCGTGTCGATTAACCAATTAAGGTATGTGAATATATATCACATAGTTAAATAAAAACAGAATGCCTTTTTCTCCAACATGTTTCGTTCTTTACTCTTCAGGGAGATTGTAGCAGTTACAGTATGACGTCATTACATATATATTGTGATGTCAAAATAGGGACAACATTCTAAAGCGACAAGGTCACAACTTGCAATGGTTAAGCATTGGTTTGAACTTGCCTATGAAGTAGTGTTCTTTTAAAATTCGTTTTACTTTGTCCGAATTTTGTAATTTAATATCGTTTCCTTTCGCACATACATCTAGATGTTCACTCAGTGGGATACATCGGGTTTCAGGACACTTTATTTCTTGTTTGTGGACATGAACCGGATGTATCACACTTCATAGACAAGTTCAAACCAATGCTAAACCATTGCAAGCTGTGAAATAATTACTAGAAATATTAAAAGGGTAAGAAGTCCTCTCCTTGTACAACGCAACAATTGGGTATACGTCCAATATAATATTAATATGGTAATTTATGATAACTTATATGGCCAGTGATTATTCTCATTTTGATCACGCATATCCGAACAAAGTGCGAAGCATCGTCTTTAACAATTGTTCAGAAGAAATGAGGTCAGAATTCTCAACAGAAATGTGCATGTCCCAAACATCGAGGTATATGACACGGGCATAAAGAGAAACACATTCTCTGTCTGATAATGTTATCATATGCAGGTCCCCACAATCCACCTAACGTGTTCCGCGTACTACGTTTAACAAAATAGTGTGGTCCTTTAATGGCAATGTTTATATCGGTTGATCGTATCAGTAGTCTCTCTGTTCCTAGTTTTATATGCTTCATTCGAGCCTTAAACAAGTGGAGAGGAAAAAAATGAAAATGGGCATAAAGATGAATGAGAACAATATCTCTAGAACCGGAAGGTATTTCGTCTAGATGGGCAAAACATGGTCGAATCGCTGTCCTGTTGGCATTTTCAAACGACATCGACAGGCCATGGGGGCCCAAAAGATAGTATAGCTAAACCTCTTGCTGTATGCCTCGGAATAGAAATACCATTTGCTAGTTGGTATAATGTTGTTGTGAGTTTCCTTTGGTCCAACTGCCCAAGTAAGATTCTGATATTTGAACAAGAAAATAAACAACTGTCTGACAGTGGAATCACCAAACATTCTGAGAATTCTGTTGGCTAGGCAGTGGTCAAAGTCTTTGGCAGTTATGTCATTAAAACAGGAGAGTGAGCGCCACGTAGACTTGTAGAAGAAACCAGCAAGGTTTGACAGTCAGGTGTTCCGGAAGTTTGTCCTTCTGCAAGGGATGTTTGAAACCATTGCTGCGATTGGGGCTGAAACATTAATGGCAAGATGGTTTCTTTATTTGTTTGTTGTTCACCGCAACATTTTGTTTACCATTTTGTATGAATCCTACAGAAAGTTTGTTAATGAACAATGAAAAAAGCATTGGGCTTGACATACACCCTTGCCTTAAACCGGATGGACAGTTAAGTAGCCTGTTGAATAATAACATCGGACACAGAAATATTAATGAACTGACCTTACCGTCACCTCGTCAATTATGCACAAATTGAAAACGAAGCAAATGTTTAAAAGTAATTTTTCCAAAATCTGAGAACAGATTCGAAGGAAAGGGAGTACAACTGGTTCCCCGGGGGAGTCCTACTTCTTGGCTACACGTCTGACAATATATATTACACGGATGTTATCAGTTAGGAAGTTCAGTTTTTCATACGAATCTCTTAGTAAGCTTCAGATTACATTTGTTATCATGTGTGCTAATTGAAGCTTTTAAGATAGACAAATGCAGTTTTACCTTATGCCATGTGGGATAGTGGCGTACAAAGTTGTAAAGACAAACACTTTCACAGAAAGCAGCTTGTATCCAAACAAATACATTGACGTTTATAGTGTCTTAGATCCTTCCCGCTATTTAAAAAATTGTTCTTTAATTGCATTTAGGATTATGTGTTTTAATGGGTCATTGAAACCCAGTACAAAGGTAACGGGCAGCCCAGAAGTTAATAGTACTGATCCATAGTTTTGGTAGATTTCTTCCTCAGGTGATATTCTGGCCTTGTGTGATATTATTTGATATGTCCTTACATGCAGATGTGCTGTTCAACCCCTCTATCTAGATTAAAACTAGTTCTTTATTCTCATATTTATACTTACTTCAAATACCAATAGCTGTAGAGAGAGTACTGCGTACAGGTGGTAGAAAGTGCCTGACTATAGACATCATGTTGAAACATAAAGTGAACGGTTCTTCGGGTGGTTTCTACCTACATTTGTGGTAATAGAATCATGACATGTACATGTATTAACAACAAATATACCAAAAAATCGATATCAACCTTTCAGACACAATTTTAGTATTTTGTTTTAGATCTAAAATGGGGCAAATCAATCAGAAAGTGGTGTTCTCAGCCGCCATATTGAGCAATGTCTTGACTATTCTACTGTAAGCTCTCGGCCAGAGTATCGTTTCTGGGCAAGCGTTAAGTCATTGATTCAATACACATGTGCACCTAGAACTGCAATGGGCGTCAGATGACTCTATCAACATGTAACATCGCTGCATTCCCGCGTTATATTTACACGTATTTTCACCTGTATAAATGTCACTTTTTTGTACTGTGGCACTGAGGTAGGAAATATTTTGAAGAGCGACACACCACTGCAGTTGTTCAAAATGTCTCGTTATTCCATTGTCACGCTTTGCTTCATGATCATGTTGGCACTTAATCTATGCAAACGAGACAATACAACAATGTCCCTTCTAGGATTTCATACTTGCTGGATACAAAATCAATTAATACTCTATGGAAACTTTATGAAATCCAATGTACATGTATAGCACGCTCGCCAAAGACATATACCAGTATATGTTGTAAGCTTATATACTTTTAATGATTTATCAACGTTTATTTACGAGTTATTCATATATTATTGTGGCATGTATTGTACACCATGATATCTGTAACTCCTTACCTTTAAGTTGGTAGTCTTGTGCCCTTCCCAGTACAGACAGAACGTGAGTGAAAAGCGTGTTGAAAACTAAGGACACTGAAATTTAACAACGAACCATTCAGTAAAAAAACTAAACTTCCTCTGCAATTGAACAAGGGTATTCAAGTGTTATTATTTTTACAGCTAAGTTATAGTTTCGAAGTGACACATTGCAAACTTAGCTTATCAAGTCAAAGATGTTTACTGTACAAAAGGCCTCCGGCCCATATACATTGGAGTTATACATATACATTATACATATGGTGCAAGAAGTAGTAATTAGTGATCTAAACAGCAAATCATGATATAGGCAGTAAATTATGTATAACACTTTTTATCAGATTGTTACGTTTAATAAGAGCATAATTGAAACAGTACGACAGCTTTATTATTACATGCTGGTCAGTTGATGAAAGAAGTAGATTAAATGCTAATGTAGAGGGCTTACATAGATAATATTCAGCAAATCTTTATACAAAGGACATGCCAGTAAAAAATTGATTTCATTTTCCACATCTATACTACAGAGTGGGCACATTCTCTTGCATCGTTCAATATAAAAACGTCTTCCTTCGTTTACCATTAAGTTGATCAAACATAACCTTAAACTTATAAATGGATATCTTAATTTCTTTGATGTTAAAAACGACAGATATATCCAGTGCATTGTCTTGGTCAACAGGCACACCGTAACTAGGAATGCTTGAGCTGCTGTGTTCAGATAATTGTTAGTGAGTGTGACGGCCGGGATGCCGAGGGCGAACGGAGAGAGCACGACCAGAGAAGTGACAGCTAACTCATGTGATTCGACAACAGTACAGGGATTACAGATCGAAAGAGGGATCGTATTATGATCATTTAAGTCACAATCTTGACTTGCTCACGTCACTCTTTTCAGTCAGCATGAATGATGAACACATTTGTTGCATAGCAGCATGTATGGCACATGAGTATACATCAATTGAATAGTAGGATGGCTGAATTGAATTTTGTCATGATTATTGACCAGAATCTTCAACCA